AATCGAGTTTCGAAGCGGCGCCGAAAAAAGGCTTTTCAAGTACTTATTTTCTTTTGAAAATGCTGAACTTCTGCTCCCGGCGTGCGGGAGGCCTCTCAGGCCGATGAGTCGTGCTCCCGCTGCAGCGCTGGCCTCATTTCCGCGTTTCCGTTCGTTTCAACTCGTGCTCCCGCTGCAGCGTTGCCGTCATTTCCCGTGCCATGCCACGGCATGCAATGCAATGCTAGGTTGATGCTACGCTTTTCGGCGCTCTTCTACGCAATGCCACGCCGTGCCCTACAATGCATCGCGTACCCTTTCGGGATCATTGCCCTGCTCGACATCCGACTGTGCGAATAGAGAGGGGATCTGCGCCATGGTAAGGGATGGGAGGGAAGGGTAGGATGTCAGACGTGACGCGAGCGCACCTAGCTTGCCGCCCCCCCGCTCTCTCCGTCCCCCCCCCTCTTTCCTGCCTGTCCCCCCCCCTTTTTGTTCTTGCCCCCCCCCCCCCCCTCTATCCTTTCCCCCCCCCCCCCTTGCGTGTCAATTCTTTCGTCGTTGGCGCCCCCCCCCCCCTTGCAGAGCGAAGCTTGACCGCCACCCCCCCCTCTCTCCTTTCCCCCCCCCCTCGCGTGTCAATTTGTCGTCGGTTTTCGTCGTTTGCGTCCCCCCCCGACCCCCCCCGCCGCCGACGCAAAACAATGTGTGTGTGTGTGTGTTTGTGTGCGTGTGCGTGTGCGTGTGCGTGTGTGTGTCTGTGTGTGTGTTTGTTGTTTGTTGGTTTGTTTGTTTGTTTGTTTGTTTGTGTATCCCGTTCAGCTCTCCACGGATGGTGCGCAGCCCGTGTCGGCCCTGGCTGCACCGCCCGCGTCTTCTCGAGCGCTTCGGTTTGACGAGCGCACGGCGGCCCTCTCGCGCGCACCCCGCGGCTCCTCGAGCTTCCCGCCCTGTTGCCCGGGGCGCCCGTCGATGCCTCCGATTCGACTCGACACGATCCCGATGGCTGCCGATTCCGCTTCCATTCGGCTTGGGCTTCCACTTCGGGCTGCGATGCCTCCACGGAGGCCCGCCAGCCTGCCGAGTTCCGCCGATATGCGGCTTCTCCTGGCTCGGCTGCCGCTCTCCGCCGGTCCGAGCCCGATCCGATTTGTCGATTCGATTCTGGGCTCGCCGATCCGATTTGCTGGTCCTGTCGATCGCCGATCCGATTTGTCGATTCGATGCTGGGCTCGCCCGGCTTCCCGCCGCAGCCTTGCCGTCTGCACGCGCGCCCCTCCCGCCGTGCTCCGGCCAAGGTGGGCGCCGGCGAGGGCGCGGCCCTGAAGGACGTGCGGCGCGTGCGACGCCTCCGCCTGGGCCTACAGGGGGGGCCCATGCCAAGGAACACCCTGCTCGCCTCGAGGGTGCCCCGGGCGTCTTGGGTTTCGGCAGCTCTGCTATGGAACGCGTGGCCTTCCAGCACCAAAGAGCAAGGGACGTCCCGGCGTCTCCGGCATGGGTTTGTTGTGGAAGGTTTCTTGTGGTCGAGCTCTTGCTGTGTGCACCCGCCCGTCGTCGTACCTGTGCGCCCTGTCGGTCAGGCAGGCAGCGACACGGAGCCAGAACGAGAGGGAGAGACGGGCTCCTCAGCCTTCTGGAGCTCCCCGAGCGAATCCTGAACCCATCGCGTCACGACATCTGTCTCGGGGCAACATAGGGCTCGAGTAAGCCAGAACTCGGGTTAGACGACCTTTTTTGACGAGCGGTCCTGGATTTTGACGGTCCCGTTTCTCGGGGATGCTTGCAGCGGGAGTTCACGTCAAATTTCAGATTGGGCCTCGTCATTTTTGTGATGGCCCCGTCTGGCCAACCCGATCCCCCGTACCCGAGTCTTACGTCTCCACTACTCTCTCGTCCTGATGCAGAAGGCCGTCCCTCAGAAGGGGTAAAGTGAAGTCGGGCGTGTCCCTCCACATGAGGAATATCCAAAAATAGTCCACAAGTCGTATGGGGACGATTTCTGACCTATTTTGCGAATTATGTATGATTGTGCAGTTGCTTTATTAGTAGTATTAGTATTATTATTATTATTACCATTATTTTTTTATCATTTTTATTAGTATTATCATTATTATTATTTTTATTTAGCATTATTATTATTGTTGCTATGGGTATTAATTATTAATGTGCTTGTTATTTGTGTGTTTGTTTTATTATTGCTATTGTGTACTTCTTGCTATTATTGTTGTCATTATTATTTGTTTTATTAATAGTAGTAGTAGTAGTAGTAGTAATAATAGTAGTAGTAGTCGTAGTAGTCGTAGTAGTAGTAGTAGTAGTAGTAGTAGTAGTAGTAGTAGTAGTAGTAGTAGTAGTAGTAGTAGTAGTAGTAGTAGTAGTAGTAGTAGTAGTAGTAGTAGTAGTAGTAGTAGTAGTAGTAGTAGTAGTAGTAGTAGTAGTCGTAGTCGTAGTAGTAGTAGTAGTAGTAGTAGTAGTAGTAGTAGTAGTAGTAGTAGTAGTAGTAGTAGTAGTAGTAGTA